CAAGTCCCAGACCAAATTGGTCACTTTTACTTAGTAATATATGTCTACGTCTAATACCAAATGCACAAGTTGCACAACTGTACCGGAGTCTGATCCTTTCATTTCCGTGGACGACCCCAGATTGGCTAGTGTGTCTGCCTGCGCATTTTCTACTCTTGGCATGTGGGTAATTGACCATTCTCTGAACCGTGAGAGCAGAGCCTAGACTTTCATTACGTATTATTACATGTGTTCCTCTTTGGCTTTAAAGATCTCATAGACCTAATTTACTACCAATTAGGAGTCGCATTTTATTCTTACGACCACAAAGTCCAGTACCCGAGCCAACTCGAATACTACAATCAAAGGTTCATAATCTGCTTCATTGTTAGTCAGAGGAACGATTCTTTTGGCCTGCCTTAGGATTTCCCCCGAGGGTGTGATTAGCACTACGCCGAGCCTGGAACCTTTTATTTTAGAAACCTCATCCGTAAACAAAGTCCAAACTCCTGATGTCGATTCTGACACCATCATTTCTTCTTTGGTAGCCAAAGGTAACAGTCCCGGACTAAAATCGGCCACAAAGTCAGCCAAAACTTGTGACTTAATCGCATTCCTATATTTATATTCTATGTCAAATTCACTCATTTCGACTGCCCACTTAGCCAACCTGCCTGAAGGTTCAGGTTTATGAAGGATATTTCGCAGGGGAAAAGTTGTGATCACCATGGCTATCAGATGACATTGGAAATAAGGCCTAAGTTTTCGAGTGGCGACTACAAGAGTTAAGGTCAATTTTTCCAGATGTGGATAGAAAGTTTCTGCTCCAGGTAAAATTTTACTAACATAATAGATAGGAGACTGCGTACCTTCATGCTCATTGACCAAAACGTCACTTACTGCTACCTCTGAAACCGCTAAGTAGATCAGTAGTTGTTCGCCTTCCTTTAGTTTTGAAAGTAGTGGAAGACTCGATAAATACCTTTTCAAATCCTTCAAAGCATGTTGACATTCTGGAGTCCATTCAAAGTGTTTCTTCTTTTTGAGAAGTGAAAAGAAGTGATGGAATTTTTCTGAGGACCGGGAAATGAATCTGGTTAAAGCAACCAGTCGTTCTGTCAACCTTTGAACCTCTTTCACACTTGATAGTTGGTCAGGGATGTCTTCGATGACTTTCATTTTACCGGTGTTAACTCTGATCCCCCTTTGCGACACCAAGATTCCCAAAAACTTACCAGAGCTGACTCCGAATGCACACTTCTCGGGGTTAAGCTTCATGTTGTGCTTTCTTAGGATGTCAAAGGTTTCTTGCAAATGTTTGAGATGATCACCTGCTTTCAAAGACTTAACCAGCATATCATCTATGTAAACTTCCATGATTTTCCCTATTTGTTTCTCAAATATTTTGTTTACGAGCTGTTGATAGGTGACTTCGACGTTCTTTAGCCTGAAAGGAATCACATTATAATAATATGTGTCAAAGTTCGTTATGAATGTAGTTTTTTCCTGATCCTCTGGGTTCATCTTGATTTGATTGTACCCAGAGTAAGAATTGAGGAAACTCATTAACTCGTGCCCTTCCATCGTATCGATCATTTGATCAATGTTTGGCAATGGGAATAAGTCTTTGGGGCACACCTTATTTAGGTCCTTATAGTTTACGCACGTGCAAAATTTATTCTTCTTCTTTGGAATGACTACTACATCATCTAGCTAGTAAGGATATTTTACCTCTTGGATTGAACCGATATCAAGCAAATGAGTTGCCTCTTCTTTGACGAATTTGTTTCTGACCTCGGCAATAAGGCATTTTTTCTGCCTCGCCAACGAGGTGTTAGGATCTAGGCTCAGTTTGTGCACAGCCACTTCCGGCGGGATATTTGTCATATCCGCATGTGACCAAACAAAATAGTCAACGTTAAATTTAAGAAATTCTATAAATCCTGACCTGAGCTTGGGGTTTAGTCCTGTCCCCAAGTGGAACTTCCTCTTCAAGAATTTTTCGAACAATGCGACTTGCTCAAGTTTTTCCACTGTGGACTTTGTTACATCTGGTTCTTCTGGTACCTGGAAATATCTTGGTACCTGATAGGATTCCGATGATCCCTCCCTCTGGTTGACTTTGCTCGATCCGGGAGCAGGCGTTGGTTCCTGTAATTGCTATGTTGCTGCTCCTTCCCTTTGCTACTGGAAACTGAGATTGCATTTATTTCCCTTGCTACCGGTTGATATCCTCTTATTTGTTTAATCCCTCGGGGGCTAGGAACTTCAGTAATTGATAATATGTTGACAGAATAGCCTTCACCTCGTGGAACCATGGTCTCCCCAGGATAATATTGTAGCCCATATCGACGTCTACTACCTTGAAAAGGATCTCCTTCATCACCCCATCGACATTTATGGGCAGTAGGATCTCTGCTTGGGTTGTCACACTTGCCAAATTGAACCCGGCGAGGAGTTTTGTGGCTAGAATGATACTTCCGATCAACATGGCTTGCTCCGGCACTCTCTACTGGATAATATTGGCTTAACTTCCTGGGTCCACCAAAAAACGTTTGATTTTAAAATCTAAAAAATTTAGAGAAATTACCAAGGCATCGTTGTGCGGCAATAGTAGTCTATCTGTATCTTCCTCCGTGAAAGTAATATCATCCTCAATGACTTGCCGGAGTCTTTTACTATGGGTTATTAATACCTGCGTCTTTTTCGTAGCTTAAATTGTCACACTATTAATCTCGTCC